TCACCGTCTGTCAATATATTTTTGTTGGAGAGCTACAGGCCTGTAACTAACCACAGGATTGGACTCTGTCTAATCCAGCTGTTGGGAAAATTGGAATATATGATGAAAAGTCTTCCACACACCAAGAAATAGACTCTTCCTCCTTCCTGCAGAACTGTATGTATCGTTCTGGTTGGGAGTTAATCTATGATCAATCTCCCAAGGTCATCACACATTTAACATACGCAGTAATTTGCGTTGATTATAAAGAGCCGAAAGCGAGGCTTCTTTGTCGTCCGATTTACTCCGGAGATATTCAACAGAAAACATACATAAACATCTGCCACAAATAGTTCATGTCATTTTCTCCTGAATTGATCTAATTTTTCATAATTTGAAATGTAATGTAACCAAGCGGGGATGAAGAACGCAGGTTCAGTTTAATAAATTTATTAGGAATGAAAAAGCAATGGCAGATCTACAAATACAAAAACATATATAATACAATATCATAATACACATAGACAATGAGACAAAATACTTTTATTTCCTATTCACTTCAAAAATAAGAAAATTTAAGTTTACTAAGCCCAAAAACGTCAATTTTATAGTTTAAAATACCCTTCTCTCAAAAATATGAAAAATACTTGAGATTATGACTTGGACTTAATAAATAAAATACAAAAATTTAATAGACTAGGAAAATTACCTTTCAAGTGTTGACAACGGGCAGCTGGTAATAAGTAAGTTAAATTTCCTGCACTGACAGGAATGGGCCCATGCCTCAGTATATATAGCAGAAAAACCGGTTAAACAAGGGGAGACAAATATACTGACCAATGAGATTTTGTGAGTAGAATTCATAAATGGAGACTACTGCCAAATATGGCATAAAGTAAATTATGGCTCAGTAAGTTATTAAATAAAGATAAAAAAATAATTTTAAATAAATATGACTGCCACAGTAAGTAAATGCACGCAGCTAGGATAAGGCTGCCCGTAAAATATCAAACTGTTCAAACTGTACTAACTTCTCTGTACTAACTTCTCTGAACTACCTAGACATGACGTCATTATAGAATATGACGTCAAGTCACTGCATACTTGAGCTGACATGACGGGGGAAAGTGTCATAATTGTTACATGGCATGTAAATTTATTTTGGGGACTTGTTGTTTAATTCAAGTGTAAGGATTGGTTTTTTTTAAGCTCGAGTGTGCTGTTATGATGTTGAACATTTGTAATCTAAATATCCGCATTCCGTTTGCTTGTCCGATAAACACATATTCAAACAATAGCAAAAAATTATGTGTGAAACGCTCCCCTTACACGTTCGTAGACAGATTTAGAATTTATGAATCGTGTTTATAATTGGACTGGCACAAGTGATAAACAAGGACAAATTGAAGATATTCAATGTGAATCTATAAGAGAAGAATGGCCTCTAACTGAATTTTGCTGGGAGATTGTGTGTTGTTTAGCCATTTTTGTATAAATCTCATTAAAGAGTGGAAAACACCCCTTATTATGTTGGTAAGTTGAATTTCTTGTAAAATATTTTCTGAACAGGTAAAAATTAAACCTGCCCCCAGCACTTTCTATGTACCAGAGATCAGGATAAATTGATCTATGTAACAAACTTTGCACAATATTTTTGTTTTGCACTTGTGCCGAAGCGATTTTTGTGCAACAACTAGGAATATCATAAATCCCCGTCACGTGATCAACACAGTCATATGACATCACAAAAATGCTTTACAATAGAACCTGATTAAACTACTATCTCAAGTTGACTACAATTTTAAACAAGGATTACATATTAAAATCTAAATCTAGCTCAAAATATAATGTATATTTTCAAGGCATTTTCAGCCTTCAGACAGCCTTATTATAACTGTGTAATGATAAAGTAATTTTATTTTGAACATTAGATTTCGTTCATAGTAAAACAAAATTATAAAGAATCTCAAAAGTTTTTCGTAGCTTCATACACTGAAAGAGATACGAACGACAACGCTACATACTGACGACAAGCGGTAAATCTAGTGTTCCCGGCTCCCGATGGTCCCAGATTTTTAGCAATTTCTTTTTTACCGGTTCACAGAACTTATTCAAACTTTTCATGAACATTTTCTTGGTAACTTAATACTAAATCGGCAATATCACCAGCCAAAAGTGGTAAATCTAGTACTCTGTTATAAATGTTAAAACCAAAAAATTAAAAACAACAAAATGAAGTATATTTTTAATGACAGGAAAACCTCATTTACTTACCAGATGATTTGTACGAACATTAACTCTTACATATATCACTGTATTTATGTTTGGTCATTAAATATTTGTTTTAAACTTGGTATTGCTTTTTTCTTCACAATATTAAAAAGGGTATAAGTTCTGACATACTCAATGTATAATGTTCGTGTAATTGAAATACATTTATATTCACAGAGAAGTTTTATATAACAGACCTGTTAGCTCTGAAAAGAATGTTGTTTGAAAATCCACATTTTATCAACATTGATATTATTCCTGCGAAACTGAAATTTTCACATGGGTAAAGGTGCCAAGGAAAAATATATTACAGATTTGAAGAATGTGAGCATTAAATTATATAAATGATCAACCGGCTCTTACATGAATATAATGGCAGTGTCCATGTTTTGCAATGTAAACACAAAATATGTGTAGGATGAAAAAGTAATATTAGGTGCACAATGGCAATATGTAATAAAGATTCTATGAAAATTTCGTTCAGTGATAAAAAGAGGAGTTGCGGATAAGAGATGGGTATACCTAAAGCGTAACAAACAGATGGACGGAAATCCCGATTAAGAAATACCCTCCCGCTTTTCAAACAGGGTTATGAAAAAAGGACTAATGTAGGCAGGCAAGCATTAAGGCCCATGCATTTTTGCTATTCAATGTCTCTGAATGTCTTTCTCAAGATTGTTGCAACTCAACAAATCTGAAACAGTTTTCTGTATTTGAAATAATAATATTGTACACTCACTTGACCTCCCGATCAAAAGATTTTATTTTACACCTTGTTCAATTCCCATGAGTGCTTTCAGTACTTTGATTTAATTCGTCTTTGTAGTCAAGCACTAAAACATAAAACCATAATACTGTAACTGTGTATCCACTGCTCTCTCCCTCTATGAACACATAGCCTTCAACTGCATTCAAAACACTTTAGATGCAACTGCTTCTGCTATGAATGCACTTGCTCTTTCACACTCGTGGAGTGTAAACTCTATTCACTTAAACATCGTTTTGAGAAGTATATATATATACGAAATGTTTCGTAAAAGGAATAAATATAAGGTTTAATAATATTTTTTGGGAAAAAAATATTCAGAACAATTTAAAATTGCTGAATTATATCTTTAAAAATTTAATTATTGTCAATGTATTTAATTGTATAATAAAACTTTTTCAAATTGAAGGAAACTGCCATATTTTTATTTTTTCTTATCGTATTTTTGCATATTTTTACAAAGAAGGATAACTCTTCACACTTCGGGGATAAAACATTAATAAAAAACCAAATTCAAGAAGGATTTCAACTCTTAAAAACAAATAGAAAAAAATAAAAAAAATCATACAGAAAAGCATTCCTGGAGTTAAAATGATTATTAGAGCATTCTCTTTTTATCAAAAGGTTTAATTACAGCATTGATTTTGTCAGAGGGTTTCAATAACGTTGATCGATGACGTCACATCTGCATCAAAACAATAAAATATTAAGAGAATTTGACGACAGCGCAGTTTGTATCTGATAACTGTGTTTTAAAAGAGGCTAATACTTTATAAATTGTTTGTGATTTATTAAAGAAAAGGTGCAATGATCAGGTATACTAATTTCTAAGCCGTGTGTTTTTCTTTACTGAAGACAACAAGCCACATCCTTATGTAAGCCGGGATTTCCTTTGATATTCTTGACACTATCAAAGAATGCAAATACAAGTAATAAACAACGATTATTTAGTGAATATGGTATTATGAATAGCAAAAGTTCTGCTTGCATATTTTCCATGATGTGCTGTTCACTAAATAACGTTGTTTATTTCTTTAACAGTTCTGCAGAGTTATTCTTTCAAGACTGGATGGTTTATTTTTGCTGGCTTGTCAATCACCTGCGACCATCATTCTTCCTCCATGGTTATACATTGAAAAGAAAAGTCACGGTTCTGCTTGTGTAATAAATAGACAAGTCTATTTATGTCATTCAAATATGAAAATATTTTGTAAAAATATTTAAATATTTCATACAAGTTACTTATTGGACATATTCTATGCCTGTCAATGTCATATTTCCAAGTCAATGGTTAAAAACTAATCAGGGAGTGAATAAAAAAGTTAAAACACACTTACATGTATCAACGTCTATTTCCTTCAAATACATGTGCATGACTCTCATTGAGAGAGGTATTTTTTTTTCGGGGAGGGGGGTGTTCCAAGGTCTTTTTTACGTTTCTTAGTAACTCTTAAGCAGACCGACTGTGGTTTCCATTGCGCAATATTTTGCGGATCATAGTAAAATGAAGCGTATTTACTGTTTTAGAGTGACGTTTTTCACTTAATTGAAAAAACATAAGAAATTAGAGGTTGAAAATTTCTCTACAATTGGAAATAACTGATTTTTAAAACGATTGTTTTAACTGATAGGAAGATTGACGTCGTAATCGTGTGTTTTAGACGTTAGATAAAGTGACACTCTTAAAGGAGTCGCAATAATATTGCTATAACCATACGTGGCCATTACAGGTACTCGAAGTCGCACAAACAGCAACCATACACCCCACTGTATATCAGGAAACTTCATTTTGCATCAAAAGTTTTAATCTTGTGAAACATTAGAGAAATGGGTAATTAAAAATGATTCAAACAATATATATTCACATCACCTTTAACAAAAATAACGCAATGTAAATCAGTTTAACATGTAAAAGCATATATGAATAGATCTAGTGAATTACATTGAACAGATGTAATCTAAAGCAGTTACTGGATTGCCCCTTACAGTATTCAACTAACAAGCAATTCTACTGCATAAAATAATACGGAACATGAATGATTACGTCTTAATCAGATATTTTATCATTTCTGATCGTTTAGTTGATATAATCTGCCTCATTGATGTAAACCAATAGTAGCTGGTGTCCGAAACCAAGATTTACTCGATTCGCACATTACCAACAGTGGTGTATATACAATCATACTCTTGAAAATTACTGTAAAAACAAAATGTACCCTGTTTCATTTAATTAAATATATTTTAAAAAACCCTTCGATAATGTACATTAAACACTCGCAAGTAACATTGTTCATCTCAATGATAAAACAAATATAAATATACCGTATATAGACTTTAAATATTTGTACGTAGCATCACATTCTGACTTCACGTATATTTCCCTGTCGATTTAAAAAAGAGTTCAAGGGCATACTATGCTGAACTTATAATTGTAATACAGTGTTTATGATCAGAAGAAGTATGCAGACCTCATGTACATACTTTATCTTCAATTTGTTCAAATACGAATTAAGAGCGAAGTATGCCTAGCTCACGACAATTTAATGATACAGTTTGAGTTGTAGTATTTTGACTCTATTAACGTACATGTATATGTTCAGTGTTTATGCATACAAGGTTGGAAAGTAAAAACATATGCCGAGTTCAAGACTTTAATACAGTTTAAAGAAATAACCCTATGCCCGTCTTAATAACATCAGTTCACAGTTAATGCAACAAGATCTTAAAATCCTTTTAAATGACGGACACAAAGAGACATTGAATTCTTGATGTGCTGTTTTACTCCTACTCTAAGACAAGGGAATCTAAAAATTAAAGATGATTATTCACTCTTGTACAAGCAATGCATAATAATACAGCAGGATTTACAATGGCTTGGAACAAGTTTCTGCTATTTTATCCCAGAAAACAATGTTTCCCTGGGGATCAGCAGGATATTCAATATAGGATCTACTTTCTACCAAAGCCAACATTGATAAAGGCAACGTTTTAGTAGAAACGTGCCGATACATAATGAGAAAGAGAACATCTTTACCATTCCGTGTATATATACTCTCCATCCGTGCCATATTGAATTCAAACATGCACCAGTTAGAGTGAAGGAAATTTTCTGATAGAACTATTATTGTTTTCCGGCTTTTCGTAATGGCTTCTGTGATATTGGCAGCGATTTCTGTGCCTGGTCGGAAATCTCTTTTACTGAGGCACAACTGCAAGCCTCTTAAATTCTCCAGCTGGGCAATTGACTCGTTCATAGCAAAGTTTCCATCCTCTTCAGCGTACGATATGAAAGCATCAAATATAAAGGTGTCTTTGTGCAATGGACTTGATAACCGGTATTTGTTTCTTGTCATGTAATATAAATAGCGCAGTTTCCATCGGTACCGGTAAATCAAACCGGTGATCGTTATTACAACAAAGAAAATTATGAGGGAGGATATAAGGAATGTCACTATTTGATAATTTGTGCAATACACTCCAAGAAATCCTGCAGCTTTTTGAAGTCCAATTCTCGTTCCATTATCAAGCGTGCATGTAATATTTTGAAAATCTAGGATGTATTTGCGGTTTTGAAAAGACCATTGTATGAAATTCTTTGATTCACAAGTACAAGCAAACGGATTATATGCAAGACTCATGGTCATAGAGGTATTCCTTTTTAAAAGTTCCGAAAACGAATGCATAGCCTTACCATGGAGCTTCCGCAACAAGTTCCTAGAGAGATCGATTTCTGCAAGGTTCCTCATATGATGAATTTTTACATTCCATTGTGTCAAAAAGTTCGATTTCAGTTTAAGACTCCGAATATTTCGTAGGTTTTTGAAGATTTTTACTGGCAAGTTTTGTATTTGGTTGTCAGACAAGTCCAACTCTTCAAGATTTACAAGATTTTTGAAGGTTTCACCATCTGTGTCGTTTTCAAGGTTTTTCCCTAGAAAATTCTTATTCAATCTAAGAACTTTCAATGCCTTTGTGTAATCGAAGAAGAATGTGGTCAATGACTGACAAAGACATTCAGAGAGATCCCAATATTTTAATTTTTTTAATCCCTGAAGGGGACCAGTAAAACTTGTTATTGGGTTCTTTGACAAGTCAAGATATGTTATATTGTTTTCTGGATAGAATCGTGTTTCAAGAATATATGTCCTTATACCATTCCCTCTTAGAATCACGTGTATTAAATTTCTTGGCAACGATATTATAGGATCAAAATGTGAAATTGGAGATTTCTCCGAAATTTTCTCATACTTCAAAGGAAATTCGTCCATTTCATTCTTGCATATTCGTACTGGATTTTGACAATAGAACGCGTCCCTTACCTCAATAAAAGGAGGGGAAATAAACTGAAAGGATGCATCCAATTTTTCTAAGCCTAAAAATAAATTAAACTCCAGCAAGTAAAGACCTATCGCCAGTCTGTTTCTGACAAGCGAAATAAGTTTTAGAGTAGGAGGGAGGAACTTTATAACATGCTTTTCTACAAATGCTAACCTGTTGTTCTCTAAATAGAGCTCTTCAAGGGTTGAATTGTGAAAGTGCAAGATGTCACTGACCTGTATCACAGTTCCTATTCCAAACGTGCAGTGAATTTTGTTGGCTTTGAGAACCTTTATTTTGGAAGACTCTACACTACGAGAAAGATTTTCAAAACTTGCAAAAGTAAGCCTTTCGTTGTAGGAAATATTCAGAATTGTAAGGTTTCTTTGTGTTACCAATGCATCTGCTGCAAATGATCTCAGCTTACAAGCGGACATGTCAATGATTTCCAGGTGTGGCACATTTATGAGGAAACTCTTTGTCAATGCTCCTATAGAGCAGAAACCTTTGATGCCTGATACGTCCAGTTCTGTTAAAGACGGCAGGCGCCGAAACGGCCGTCCAAATTGTGTAGGAGAGAAGACATCAATTCTAAGAATCTGAAGTGAGGGGAGATACCCCCAGATTCTCTGTGGAAATGCATGTATTCTTTTACTTGTACAGTTCTTGATATTAAGTTCACGTAAAGCTTTTAAGTCTTTAAAGACATTTGGCCGAAAGACATTTTCGTCAAGGTCAAGGTAGTTTCCTTCTAAATTTAAAGTTTTTAACCTAGATAAATTAGTAAACGCCCCATCTGAAAAATTTTGAATTTTGTTGTAAGATAGATCAATGTTGTGAAGTGAAGGACAGAAGGGTGTTGTCAAGGAAGTGATGTTGTTGTGTTGTAAAAGTAAAATGACAACATCCGGTCGGGTAATCGGGACTTGTGTGATTCCCAGATTTGAACAATTGGCAGTGTACAACTTGCTCATGTTCCCAATTAGACTACAGCGGCAGGCCGAGTTGCTTGTGCAGTGTCCGTCAAATTCATTCCTTGCAACCATTGCAAAGTCTGCAACCCAAAACAGGAATATCTGAAAATTAAATGTTATGAAAATAAAGAATATTCATTTTTTACAGCCTTTGAATTATTCAACCTCAAGGACAGTATCGTTTGTCAACGGTGGTTTACAACTGTTAATTAATTGATGTGCATGTGTTTCATTGGCTTTCATATTTTGGACAACATACTTGATTATTGTGTATATGTATTGTCTTTCATATTAAAGCTTTCTCTAATAAATATCTTTGTATTTACACGAAGCAGAATTTGTCAAAAATCTTGTAAGTAAAAAAAAAAAAAACCACTTGTTGTGGCTTTTCCATTCTTGAAAATATTTCCTTTGCATTAAAATAGACACTGATTGTGAAATGTTTTAATGATACAAATCAAGATAACAGGAAGGTAACGGGAAGCATCTACAAACTAGGGGTTATCAAAAAGTTCGTGGATTGAGGCGATAAAATTACTACCTAATGTGGTCTGTGCTTACACACGGAACATTAATCAAAAAAAATATGTGTTGAAAAATTTAGCTTGATACGTTGATGATTTGAGATTTATCATTACAAAAAATAGACTTGATATGAAAACCCGGTGCAGTCGATGTTTAATACACATGAGCTTTATAAAAAAATCAAAACAAAAATGGGGGTCAATGCAATTCTGTTGGCGCTACTGAGCATTGAGTGTGACCTTTTTTGCACTGTTTTGGGATTTTTTTTCTAAAAAAATATCAATTTTTAAAGTTTTTCCTCCATTTAAAAAAAATAAATAAATTATGGGAACAAATACAGTCTTAATCCATCTTAAATAGACACATTAAAATTTGTGACAACGAAGAAATTTTCAAAATACTGCACATGTTCAATTATTTGACCTTTTTGCAATCAAACATTTTCATTTTCCTGAAAAGAAAAATTTTACAAGCAGAAAAAACATTTGAAAGTAAAATTGTAATGTAATTTTACTAAATTTATGAAGAATTGTTAGAAATATGGTGTATATTCAGAAAACAAAATTAAAAGTAAGGGTCTGTGATGTTAATATTTAGATATCACTAAAAAAGGACTATTTTTCTTCATCTTTAAAATTTACTAGCAATATATTTTTCAAATATGATGATAGAATTCATGAAAGTTTTTTTTTAATAGATATTTCGGAGCAGTATAATACAGTGCACTGCACAAAATGACTATTTGGACAGACTTCTTGTAAGAAAAATAGGAATCCAAAATTAACATATTGTCTTTAAATACTTAAAAAGAGAATAAATGATTATTTTCTTCTAAAAACCCTTCCGCCAAAAAATATAGTTCCCAACTAATGCTTTTGGTTTGGAATTTAATCATGATGTTTTAACTGAAAATAGTTAAATTGGCATAGTAAAATCCAAATTTATCGTAAGAATTAAAACATTATGCAGAATTGTTTTTAATATAGGTTAAGATAAAAATCAAATTAAAGCATTATATTGTTTAAATGAACAACTTATTTCATTGCAAATTATTTCGTAATTTTTTTTATATTAGGATATATACACATGTAACAAAAAGGCACTATATTAGCTATCGTTTACTATTGTTAACTATAGCATATCAATATACATGTATAGTACATGAAAATCAAAATTGCTTTATTTTAGATTTCAAATAGATATATTTTATTTTTAAAGCTTTCTACGAGGGTTGTCCCGTAAAATCGTGGACAAGTTGTCTAGTGTAAAAAATATACATTACTGCGTTCTGAAATTTTCATTATTATTTAGTACATATTTTAGTAATATACACAGCAAATTTCAGATAAATATATGCATAAATAAACAAATGAAGTGATTTTATGCCATGTATTGTATCACCTTACGGCGCATGGATTATAACGTCAAAGTGTCTAAAACAGCGTAACGTTTTATCTTTGCTGAAAATGAAATTGGATAAGTCCGACTTAAATTAAGGAATTTCATTGATACACATTCTTTAGTCTCTATAAACAGCCGAAGAACCAATTGACACCCTCATGCGATCTTCTGAAGATTTGTCAGTAAGTTACGGACAATATTCTCACCATCATTTAACTAATAGAAAATCTCATATCGGCGGTCTACTGTGACAGCGTCTTTTGCTATTACATTAGGAGTTTGTCCGTATGTTTTGTACTCCCCAGGGACTCGATCAAAATAGAATTCGCTTAGAAAACTCCTACTTCATTTGTATACTTAATATATGGTGATATTTTTATAAACTTTTTTCTTCTTTGTTAATTTCAAGTCTCTAAAGCTGTCATTACAACATCAAATTAGAACTGACTGCTCTCCGGTGCGCCGTAACGTCATAAAACGTCGCCATTTTTCGTGTGTTATGTTTACCACTTTCCCATTTCGAATGCCCGAGAAACTGCCAAAAATTAACCACATGACTTTAAGATTTTACAAATATTACAAAATTTATTGCTGATTTGAATGAGGATAAATTTAATCCAAATCTTATGTATTTAAAACTTTTATTTTGAATTCAAACTTGTGTATCCTTAAATAAAATCTTGGTTTTTTTGTCCGTGCGCCGTAGGACAATACCCCGTGCACATTCAAGCATGATAAAATCTTTATTTTTGCCTATATTTTTTAAAAAAAAATTATCATGCACTTAAATATCATAAATAAACATTTACTGAAATTTTCAGCTTAGTGCGCCCATTACTTTTCGAGAAAAACGCTATGTCCACGATTTTACGGGACAACCCTCGTACAAGTAATTTTCTGGTATTTAAATGAAACATTTCTTATGTTTTTTTTAATTAAAAAAAATTATATCACTGATATGTAATTTACGATGTATTAAGGCTCTAAAAGTATCAAAGTATTCACTAATGTAATCTATATTAATTTTTTGTTAGGGATATATCCTGTTTGAACATTCTGTTTGCAGTAGACGTATCTAATTCGAAAAATCTTATTTCTATATAGTACATCCACCCTGATTGATGGTGATATCGTTCATTCAGTCCCGACACCAAACCCACAGACTCCCACCTATATCTTATGTCCACGAGCTGTCATCCCCCACACACTTTTAAAGGAGTGCCTAAGGGTTTAGCCACAAGAAATCGACGCATCTGTTCGTCCCCTGCCTTATGTCAGGAGCAAAGTGATCTTCTTAAGTCCCACTTATGCAAAAGAGGCTACAATGCCCGCACCGTACAAACTGCTATTTATGAGATGGTGGGGCATGACAGACAAGGCCTATTACGCTATAAGGAGAAAGACAGGGCGGGGTCACTCTGGTAGCCACATACCATCCCGTCCTTAAGAACCTTACCGGTATCCTTCAGAAGAACCTACCAATTCTCCATTCAAGCAAACAAATGGCAGAGGTCTTTAAGGAACCCCCATTGGCTGCATACAGACGCCCAAGGAACCTAAAGGACATGGTAGTAACAACCAGACTAGACAACCCATTACCTAACGGGGGCTTTAAAACTTGCTCTGACAGAAGATGTCTTCTCCATAAACCCAGCACTGACACAGACAGTTTTAACAGCCCCAACTACAAAATACTAGGGAATTTGGCCTGACAACTGCATTTATCTCATCAGCTTCAAAGTTTGCTCCAAACAGTACATTAATGAAACAGGAGATCTCCGCAGGAGAGTCAATAACCGCCGTTCGACCGTTATGACCAAAAATCTAAATGATTTGATCCGGATGGAAATTAATATAAAGCACCAATGACACGAACATTAAAAATTGTCAAATTTTTGGGACGCCCTGTCCCTTCCTCAGGACAAACAAAAAAAGTTAAAAAGTCATAAAAACAAAGGTAAAAGAGAAACAACTAGCACTACCACTAAACTAATAAACACCATATTTTTACAAAGTTACATGTTGAGTTTGAAATTTAAATAAACACTAATAAAGAAAGAAATATCTATGAAATAGGTCCGGTTTATCGGGTGTTCATAATTGAACTAATTGATTACGCTATTTATTTACGACTTTCAGTAAATTGTATATTGTTTCATTCTCATAAAATTGCGTTACTATACTTGATTAAGAATTATCTAAGAAAAAAATAATATAGAAGGGATGTTTAAACATATGAATTTAGATCTATTATAAACTGGGAAATGTTTAGGATTATTTATCAAGAAAATAATAATCAACATAGGCGTGAACAATACATAGGTATTGGGGTTGTTCGAGAGTTCTTAACGCAAATTAACTGTAGAGTTTACACTAAATTGATAGAATAATATTGTTTAGGATCACCAGAAATATACATAAATCAAAAAATAGACGGCTAATGTTCGAAAATTATTTTATATTATATGGAATATTCAAGTTTATATAAACTTACCAATGTGTAATATTTCATTTTACATGTTAGCTAAGGATAGCTTCCAGTCATATGTGAATAATTTCAAGCTTTTGAATGATGGATAGCTATTTCAATTGTCATTTACTTTAACATTATTAGAAAAAGAGCCAATATAATCTTAAGTGTTATTTTGAGTTACAAATCAAATTACATTAACGCCCATGAACTAGATAATTGATCGTACAACAAGGAAATGACTGTAAATGATTTTAATATTAATATTGTAAGAGTGAACAAATTGTTGCATGCAATATCTTGGCATCCAGGCACTTCAATTAAACAATGTAATCTAAATATAGTTTAGTACGAGACAATAAGATTCTGGCAATATTTGATCAATAGCATTTTGTATATCTATTGTATAGTAGGAGTAATCATCCTTTTAAAGTGTATTCTGTTCTTGCGTCTATTAAGTACACCAGTTCTGCGAGGTACTATATTCTAAAATAATGATTGTCGAAATTACCAAACAAGAAAATATATATAAATAAAATGTAAATAAAAACCGGTCGGCAGGGAATGCTCACTTCTGAATGCCAACTGATCCTGCTTCTGACTGATTGATTGTATATTGTTTAACGTCCCTCTCGAGATTTTTTCACTCATAAGGAGACGCCACCACTTGCCGGTGGAAAGCTGCAAATTCTATTCT